ACCTGGCCTTCAAAGAATTATATTCTTCAGTCCTATATACAAGACATAATTAAATAATAACATCAACTGTGAAGATATGCCCCAGTAATGGCAATGTTAGGACATGCTGGGTCTGTGGCTTGGAAGCAAGAAGGTCTCCAGGAAGGAGCTGAGAGTTGAGCTGGAGGTTAGTTTTCAGATGGGTGGGAAGAGGCAAACGGATCCATTTGTGTACTCCGTTCTCTCTCTCTCTCTCTCTCTCTCTCTCTCTCTCTCTCTCTCTCTCCCTCTCTCTCATAGGAAGCAGCACATTTTTAAGGTTACCTTTAGGTCCTGAAGGTTTCTTGTGAAATCATGATTTCATAATTCATTAGCAAATAAATTGTTGTAAGTTATACATAGTCATCTCCAAAGATTGTCATCCCAAAATAAAATTACTGCTGTCATTGTGGTATTAGATACCCCAAATTAAATTCTACTTTTTCAGCCATAAAATTTAGGAGCAAGGATAAACTTCTTCAGGGATAAATATTTCCAGAGTGAAATAGCCAAAATACCGGGGGGAAAAATCAAAAGAGAAAAGAATTTGGGTAATGGTCAAAAGCAAAATGGCATTTATCATCCTCTTTCATCTACTGGAGCTATGCTAAATACTTCTGATAATAGATACATAAAATTAATGCAGAACCGAAGAACCTAGTTTGAATTGAGGTAGCAGAGGAATTTGAGTATCTTTATCTGATGATATAATAGAATTTTTTCTTCAGTGAAGCTGGCTTAGAAAGAAGCTGGAATATTATGTAAGTGGATCAGAAATAGTGTGTTTTGAAAAGTCAAATCCCTTTCTGTATTACTTTGTCTGCTCTTGACCTGGATTGACTTACTAATATTTACTTCCTTAGCTTCTGTGGTGGATTATTTGATTCTTTGTCCCTCATCCATAAAGATGTATTAGTCCCATCCTTGAATCTCAGGTGGCACTGCGACTGCTTAGCCAGTAGGATGCAGTGGAAATAACCTGTGCCGATTCCAGATCGAGACTTTAGAAGGCTGGGCAGCTTGCACTTCCTCCCTCTAGGAATGCTTCCTCTCAGAACCCAGCTGCCACACTGTGAGCAGCCCAGCCACTTAGAGAGGCCACATGTTGGTGCACCATCTGCCAATCCCAGCTGGGCTCCCCGCTGACATCTGGCATCAGCTGCCAGTTGTGTGTGAGCATCTTCAATGTGTCAGCCCAATTGTATCTCCAGCTGTTTCAGCCCCAGCTGCCATCAAATGGAGCAGAAGAACCACTCAGCTGAACCCAGTAAACCTGCAGACTAGTGAGAGAATATACAATGGGCATTACTTTTCGATATTTCAGGGCAGTTTGTTTCATAGCAATATAGAAATGAAATAGCTTTCCAAAGAAAATCCTCGAACTGGGACTGCAGAAGAGTTCATTTCATTTAAACTATAAATAGATAATATTTAAATAGCCTGTACTTAATCCTTACAATGTCTGAAAATCAGCAGGCAAGATTTTAGGGGGCTATCATTGTGGAAACTAGGTGCTTTTAAGTTTGTTTATTAACTACATTAAGGTAATGGCTATTTCAGTGTTTCACTTTCTGGTTTGCTTATTCTCCCACTGAAGTGATAGGTAAGCAATACATAATCACATGTGTTCTTTTTATTAAAAAAGAGATGCAATATTTTTTTCATCAGAAATAGCATGAGTCAGCCTTTTGCTCAGATCTTGATCCTGTAGCTTAAATAGCTCTGTGTCCACAGCCAAGTGACCTAAGCTGCCTCAGTCTGTTAATAGGTACTGTACAGGATTTGTGATGACAAAAAAACAATGTATGTTAAGAACCAGGCAGAGTTCCTGGCACAAACATAGAGCTCAATAAATGTAACTTTTGTTATGAAGGAGGTAGGAATGTGGTTTTTAAAAGGTAGTAAAAATGTGTCTCTTGTTCATTTTTAAGGGGCCATTGAAATAGGGGTGAAGTCTAAAGAGTTAAATTGATATCTCTTTGCATTTCTTCCTACAAACAGGCATGTTTTAGCTGAAGGAAATTCTGATCACATATATACACTACCCTTCCTCACATCATTATTGCTCAAGAGTGTTTTTAAAGGGTTAAAGGCAACTTCTGGCTCCTATTCTCAAGGACAGAACTCATGGAGAATTCCTTTTATTCTTTACCAGCTGTCCTACTCCCTTTCCTCTGCTACAATCACCTTCCATTTTGGTGGGAAACACCTTTGTAGGATGCAGGCTTTCCACAAGCTGATCTGAGCTTCAAGGTGCTACAGGGGTCCGGTCCATGTACACATGCCACAGCCTAAGTTGTATAATCCAGGAGGAAGGACAACTGTGCCAGCCCACAGGGCTGTCTGTTTTGTCCTAGCTTTTGTATAATACGTTGTTTTCCTTTGTTAAGTGCTGGGTGTCTTTGATAGGACAGCTAGTGCTTATTAATATCTCTGTCTGCTAAGTATGTTTGATCCTAATGGTTAAGGAGAGGTGAGTAGTTGTTATTTGGGCAAGTTAAGGACCACTTTTCTTAATTATTCTTGATATCTTTCTTCCCTGTCCGACTTGGGCTACCTGAAGCCCATTTTGGTCTTTGAAATTTAGATGACCTTGTCTGTGGATGAAATGCCAATCTATTATACTTGAGAGACATATTGGTTGGAGGTAGAATTGAGGAGTTAAGTGCCACATATTTAGCCTGAGTGCTATTTAAAGGAATAATAAATTACCCTAACTTAGCATAAGCAATTCATTGCTTGTATTGGTTTTGAATATTTACATGAATATTGATAATTAAAATCTTAATACCTCTCAGTTTGAATACTGTAAATGCTTCAGTATAGATTTTCTATGAAGTGAAATTTCATGTCCATTGCTAGAATCCTTAAGAAAATTCTCACTATTTTAAAATCTAATAGTTAAAGCTAGAAACTAAGCATACAAATTATTTTAAGACACCAGTTACTGGGATATAAGTGCAGATTATGCACAAGTGAACTTTAGGATAACTCATTTTGCTCATAAGCTTGTCATAGTCACAATCACTGTTATTTAAATTGGTTCGGGCATTTGTTGTGGTTGTTAGCTATAGTACTGCAAACGCATTTTAAGATTTTATTATTCTTCTAACTATGTATAATTATGGGCTCATTTGAACGAAATTATAATATTCTAATTCCATGCCCACTTAAAGCTGAAAAATAATCCAAAGCAGTGAAGATTGCACTACACAAAATTGAATGTGCTTTAAGCGGATTTTCTTAGGACTCGAGCCTCAAATTTTATTGCTCCTGAGACTCATGATCGTTATATAATATAGATTTAAAGAGCATTTTTGAGTCTCCTGTTGACATAGGTGAGCAAAATGCTTCCTTGGAAACCATTCTATGTCCATTCACAGCAAAGCGTGGGTTAAAGGACCAGAGGCATACAGTGTGCGCTGATGTGCAATGATCGGCAAGTTCAGGGGAGCCTGTCTCTGTTAAGGACAGTGCATTTCTTTTGGTCTTTTAACGACTGCTGTTTTAAAAGGGGGAAAAAATCAGCATTGAAACGATCTGAGGTAGAGCTACTGAAACCTAACCCCAAAAGGCACGCTCTCACAAAAAACTCTCCTTAGTTCTTGCAGTGCAGTTATGGCCGTGGACATGTGGTATACATTACCTTGCCCAGGGAATTCAAACCTCCGCAGTGTGGAGTCACCGTGAAGGCTAATTTCAAAATGAAGTGGTAGCCTTTGCTCCCTGGGTAGCTCTGTTACTGACCAGTGTTTCTTATTAGCTTGACATTAGTCTAGGGCTGCTGTGGGTGGGACAGGGAAATGGAAATTTAAAGGGGACCAGAGTTAGGATATATGTTTATAAACCTCCCCCGCCCAGCAGCCCCCTCCTCCAGCACACACTCAGCACTTCACACTGGGCATTACAAAGTCTCACACAATCTCCATGCAAAGGGCTGGAGGCAGAGCTGTCCATGGTTAGCAAAAACTTCCTAACGGTTGGTTGAAAATCCGGTAATAACAGTCCTCTTGGTGAACAAAACTTAGCGGGCTGCGGAAGGAACGCGAGCTCTCAGCAGCAGGCAGGAGAAATTGCTGTTGCAAAGCTTACCTCTCTGGGGAGGAATCAGATATCAGACTTTGCCAAGCCTCAGGTCCAACCCATAAGGTCCCACCTACAGCCCCCACCCTATCCCAGCTTTGTTAGATTGCTAGCATCGATCGCTGGCTTTTCTCTGACCCAACCGTGGGTGAAGGAAAGAGCCAGCAAGACTGAAAGCAAACAAGGCGGGGGGTGGAAGACTGGGGCGGCTTTTGCAGAGAGAACAAGAGAGAAAGACAAGGGGTGGGGGCCATGGGGACCAAGCTTAACGGGTGCCTGCCTGCTTCTCTTTGATTTGATGGCCTTTATTCCTTCTAATTGGATAACATAGGAAGTCACTGGCAGTCCTGTGTTGCTGGGGATCCTGATTTCCCTCAGCCCAGCCAGCAGCTCCGGAGTGCGGCTAGAGGACGGTGGGGGCTGGGAGAGGAGGGAGGAAAAAGAAAGAGACGGAGAGAGGGAGAGGACGTCTTTGAAAGAGGAGGGGAAAGGAAGAGCAAGAGACTATGAAGAAAGGGAGAGCCGCAGGGGAAGAAAGTGAATGAGCGCTCAAGAAGCACAAAGAAGAGTGGTTGGGGGTGAGGGCGGAGGCAGGGCGGGGAGGGGAGTCACCGCCCCTCCTGGCCGCACTCTTCCCTTCGGGTCCCTCTGCGATGATGCTGCTTGCAGTGATGCTCCGAGGGCAGGCACCTGCTGCTCTGTAATGATTCAGCCCCGCTCCGCCGTCGCATTAACACTACAGGATGCTGTTGCTACTGTCACTGCTGCCTCTCCTGCCGCCGCCGCTGCTGCTGCCGCCGCCGCCGCCAGCGCTGGTCCTGCTTTTGCTCCTACTTCTCCTGCATGACAGTTGTTTTCTCCATCTAAGCAGATACCAGCTTCAGATGCTCGAGGTGAGGAACATGCCTTTCAGTTTGGGCTACTGGTTTACTTAATCGACCCGCCCTCAGTCAGCCGGGTTTCTATTTTGGCCCCTGTCCTCTGGACCAGCCGGGATGGTTTGGAGAAGCATTTAAAAGAACTGCCAAAGTGGCCCCCAAACAGCGGTCAAGAATTACAATATACTTTTATTTGGTAGTTGCTAGAGGCTTTCCCCCCTCTCCTTCCTGCCTCCTGAACTCCTCTTGCTTGTGATAATGGCCTTGGACTTGGACAACTTATCGATTTCCCCCTGTAAGATGCTGTCTCATTTGGTTGGGGGGGGCTCTGCATGGTAATGGACCGTGAGAGAGGCCAGGCCTTCTGGAGGTGAGCCGATGGAGATCTATTCCCCAGACATGTCTGAGGGGGCCCCCGAGAGGTCCTCCAGCCCCTCCACGCAGCTGAGTGCAGACCCGTCTCTGGATGGGCTTCCGGCAGCAGAAGTCATGCCAGAGACCCAGACTGAAGATGGGAGAAGCTCCGGCCTCGTGGGCCTGGCGGTGCCCTGCTGCGTCTGCCTGGAAGCCGAGCGCCTGAGAGGTTGTCTCAACTCGGAGAAGATCTGCATTGTCCCCATTCTGGCTTGCCTGGTCAGCCTCTGCCTCTGCATTGCCGGCCTCAAGTGGGTCTTTGTGGACAAGATATTTGAGTATGACTCCCCCACGCACCTTGACCCTGGGGGGTTAGGCCAGGACCCTATTATTTCTCTGGATCCAACTGCTGCCTCAGCGGTGTGGGTAGCATCTGAGGCACACACTTCACCTGTCTCTAGGGCTCAGTCTGAAACTGAGGTTCAAGTTACACTGCAAGTTGACAATGCTCTTGTGTCCTCTGAACCTTCCGCGGTACCCACCCCGAAGAATCGTGTTTTTGCTTTTTCTTTCTTGCCATCCACTGCACCGTCTTTCCCTCCCCCCACTCGGAACCCCGAGGTGAGAACACCCAAGTCAGCAACTCAGCCACAAACAACAGAAACTAATCTCCAAACTGCTCCTAAACTTTGTAAGTAGAGAGAGAGATGATGGTGAATAAAGGCCAGGGGGTGGGCTCAAGGTCCAACAAAGTGTTCTCCAGAGCATGTAGCTGTTTTCTTTTCTTCTTGTGCTCTCATTGCATGGTTCCGTTTAAGCCTATCATGTGACTGGGATGCTTCGGGTGGCGGTGAAGAGATGAGTAAAAAGATCTTGCAAACTGCTGGCATGAATCAGGGCTCTAGCAGCAACTCCTTCTAGCTGGTTTGTTAAATCTGGGGCGGGGGACCCGAACTTCAGCATCTTCAAGTCATGCTTGAATATAACTTAAATTCAATTTATTTCTAACATTTTTCGAAATTAAAATATCAGATCATCATTTATTCATGTAAGTGTAACTTCCATAAAGCAGTGAGTATGATTTTGTGTCTTTCTTTTCCCCATATCATCTTCCCGTTACCTCTCTTCATCTTTCGGTTCCCCTCTGCCTTTCAGCAATCCCCATCCCCATCTCTTCTTCCTAACCACCTCTCCCCCTGTGTGTATTTCCGGATACTGCATCAAGTCTTTATACATTTACAGTGCTCATCTCTCACTGCCATTAGATGATTGGTGTTCTGCCCAGATTGTTGTTTTGGTTACTGGGCACTTATTAGGGGCAGCCTTATTCTATTCAAGACACAATACAATCCTGCATGAAAGGATTTTCCCAGATTGCTCTTGTCTTCTGTAATCAAATGTTTAAGTAGCGTCTGTGGTGGTCATTAAAAAGTACAAGGCTCGTTAGTAAGGTACATCGTTGTTTGTCAGGCGTGTGTCATTTGCTTGTCAGGTAGCAGCAGCCCAGCTTAATAACCTGGGAGTGAGGGAGCCCACGCTTTTAAAACAATACAGAACAGTATGCTGCTGTCTGCCCTGGCTCGTCGCAATGCTCTCTAATGGAAAGTTGACAGGGATGAAACCATGACTAGTCAGAATGTTGTAAACATCAATAGAAAATGGAAGAGTTTTCTATTGCTTTTTAAAAATGTTTCTAATTTACTTTTGTTTATCTCCTATCACTGTTTTCCATTGATGAGTATGTCCTTAGTAGAAAAATTTAAAAGATCAAAGAACTTGGTTCTTAGTAACATATGTGAAATCTCTTAGAGTTAAAGGTGAGTTGAGGATAAGGATTCGGTGATGAAATACTCCTCCTTTTGTTTCCCTCTCGTTAGTAATAAAGAATAAAGAGTATCTCTTCCAGAGCCTGTGTGTTATAGAAACACAGGAGAACTTGATTTCTGCTTGTGATTCAAGACTGTTTCTTACACACCAGTTTCAGTGGCAAAGGTGTCAAGAGAGAGAGAGAGAGAGAGAAAAAGAGAGAGAGAGAGAGAGAGAGAGAGAGAGAGAGAGAGCGCTTGTTTTTCAGGTGTAATTAGGGAAGAAGCCTCTTTCTGCAGACACTGCTTTGTATCTTTATCAAATCCCTGAAGCATCATTAAAGGTCTGACAGACATCACTGCATTCGCCGCCTCTTCCCACCTGGCAAAGTGACCGGGAAATAATACCCAGATGAAATGACAGGCTATAAAAAGCAAGTACAGATCCTGCAAGGAGAAGCAAAATTCACCGAGAGGACAAGGTTACTCCTTTGTCTTTAGCGTTTTAAACTTGTCTTTAATGAAAATGGGGCCGGATAGGTTTACTGGTCCAGTAAAGGAATAGGAAGCCTTGGGAAAAACTTGTCAGCTAAATTCTGTAATGTTGTCATTGGAAGAAAACAAGCAAACAAAGAGAAACATCCAGCACATTTTCCTGATCTAGGACCTATCAAAAAGTATCTGGTGACTTTATGAGAAATTAATGTTTAAGGTAAATTCTTCTGTTAAATGTTTTAATACATTATATATCCCATATAGTTTCTTTGAAAAATTTCTTTTGCAAGCCAGGGCATTGATTTTCTGGCATTTGCATTGAGTGGGAGAGATTTACTGCTGCCTAAAAGCATCACAGTGACCAGTGCCGGCCCGATGCACAGCTGCAGCCCTCGGAAGTGCAATGGAAATAAGCCTGGAAAAGCAGTCTGGGAAGTAGTTTTCTCCTGGAAAGTTAGCAATGGACCGTTGGTGAACACTGTGCATCCGATAGGGTTTTCTGTGTGGGAAACTCTGTGTTAATTTCTTTCTAGTAGTGCCTAAAAACAAATTATTAGTATCTCCAAAATCGTGAGTCTTTTTTTGTTAAAGGCTGGTCCTTAAAGCTTTGTTTGCAGACCCTCATAAGTGGTCATGTTTGCTGTTTAAATACTTGTAACCATCAACTAAAGCGAAGCAAAGGGGGAAAAAAGGCTTGGAACTGAATTTTGTCCTTTTGTAATCTCTTTCATCTTTTTTTTCTTTTCATCTAAGGAAGTATTGCTTAGTCACAGAAAGAACAAGAGCTTTCGTTTCATCATACATGCTTCTGACATGAACTAAGCATCATCATGTATATTTTAAAATGACATTCTCGTATCCGAATCATGCTCGTCATTGGTTTCAAGAGTTTCTCCCTCTTCTATCTGTCTCAGCATATTCAGCACATTATGCTCAGAGCTGTAACCTTCAAGGTCATAGTCTGTTGAGGGCTAATTGATTCTTCTTTATCCTGGAGCCTGAGAAAGGGGAGGAGAGACAATCCTAGTAATTGTGTCTGCTGTGTTATTTCCCAAACCAATTTACCCATTAGTATTAGGGTTTTATTCTAGAAATACTAGAATTACTCCCTTCCTCCCTGATTTCTTTAAAATAAAACATCCTTAATCTTCATTATAATAAAAGGCAAAATATAGCATTTTAAATTGCCTATAGATATAGTGGCTATGCCAGCTTTCTTAAAATGGGTATTTCTTTCATAAGGTAATATAATTTCAAGTTGTCACCATATTAATCTATGCATATAATATATATCTTAAGGATTCTAATATAAGGCTGGAAAATACATATACTTCTGTATTTTCTCTGTGTAATTAGTGGCTTTTCACTACCACATTCATTATATCACAATGATAAGTTAATTTTTTTTTTATTTTTTTAGCAAGTCACATAACACTTGAACCATTCATTTGTAGGGTTATTTTTCCTGGGCTTTAAAATTTTTTCCTGCCCTCTAGAAAAAACTGATTGGAAGATTGCAAACTTAAGATTACTAAAAAAGAGCTGATTAATTAAAGTACAACCAGGAAACTCTGGTCCTGAAAAAAATGTATTTCTCCTTGGGGCAGCCTACTTGACAACAGACTCTTGGATACAAGCATTTAGTGGTATTTTCATCTTAGGCCAAATTTGTTTTGCTTTGTCTTAAATCTTTGTATTGGGTGGCATGGCAAACCGCTGTGACCTCAGTGACATTATGAATCGTTACTGTCTGCAGAGCTCAACATGATTCATTCAATTTATCAAAGGATTTCTTCCCTTCAATTTAAAAATGGTCTTCATTTTTAGCCCAAAAGATTCTTCTAGATCCTTGCAACTGTTCTTGTTGGTATTTCAGAATGGTGTTCTCAAATAACTTTTCTCCACTTTGACCATACTTATTTTAAGCCTCAGGACAATAAAAACTAGAAGAAACTGAAAGATCCTCCATTGGACACAAATTATTTTATAAATTTACTGAGGAGGCAATCCAGACTCTGAAAGAGTTCATGAAATTCTTTTACTAGAATTCACAAACTCTGAAAGGTTTGGTGACATCCAAAGAGTAGAGAGCAGATCAGTGACCTATCTCCTATCCTCTTTTTCCCTGTTATAGAGAGTTAGACCTAGAAACTCACTCTGGTATCTGAGCTACAGTTAGGGAGCACTTCGAGTGGGACCACTGGTCAAGCGTGTATAGTTCATACTATTAAAATTCAGTGTTCTTTTTGCCTTCTTATACAAAGGCAAAAAGAACACTGAATTTTATTTATTGGGCTTATACAATTTTCAATAGAGGTGGTCTTTTCCCCCTTTTAATCTGACCAGCCATACAATGTTCAGCTTGCTTTTGAAACCATCTTGGGCTGTCTAGGCTCAGCTCTTCCCTGCCATGTTGCAGATGGTCAAGTGGCTCACCTCTATCTGCACAGCCCACTTCGTTTCCGTTTAGATCAGTTTTCCCCCTTTATCTACCTTCCCACCCTCTCAATTTTATCTTAAATATCTCTTATTTTTCTAATTAGGCCATTTTGGCTTTGTGTATCAGTATTTCATTGCATTCTAAGATATCAAAGCATCTTCACCTGTCTTTTCTCTCAGATAACTTTATTGCCTTTTAGTACCGAAGAGTATTTACACATATTGCAAAGATACAAACAAAAAAAATGTCTCCAGCCACTGAACAGTGTACTATTTTATTAATGGTACAATAAATTCAAACTTTTGTTCCTCTTCTTTATCTCTCCCAGTTCTTTTTCTTAGTATGCTTCATGCCAGTTTCTCTGCTGACTCCTTTACATGTTTGTGCAAATCAGCATTTCTGCATTCCCAGAAAAGCATTATGCCCCAAATCACACGTCTTTGTTCGTTCTTGCTTACCTTTCTCTTTTAATAACAACTCAGAGTATCATTTTAAAGCATGAAGGAAGAGATAATTTGTAAATTGAGAAATGGAGGCATAAGAAGTTATGACTTGTCTAAAAAGTTAGAAGCCCCCAAGGATTCGGATTATAGCTCTTGTCCACTGAATCTATTGGACTTTCTATTAAACCGTAAACTATACCATGTCTACTTTTATGTTCGTGTTTCCATTTTTTTTATTTTTGCATATGTTAGTGATTCTCTTCTATTATTTCCTCTCTTTTTTTTCATCCAATGAGTATGTATTTATTACCTTCTATGAGCCAAGCACGGTTTGAGATTGGTTATATGGCAATGAAAAACAGTCAAAGTCCTTGTCCTCAAAGAGCTTGTGTTCTAATGGATTTTAAGAATTTAGTTGCACAATTCAATTTGAATTAATTTTTAATCCCTAAACATATACTTTCTGAATTCAGCATTTCTTCTCCTTATCTTAATTTTATTCATATTT